CGGCCAACTGCGGGTTCGCATCCGCGAGAACAAACTGCTGGGGCTGGCAACACAGATCTTTCCTACGAAAACGGGGACATAGGGCCAGATGGTCACACACACACACACACACACACACACACACACACACACACACACACACACACACACACACACACACACGCAAAATCACTCACCAACACACACACAATCACAATCACAATCACGCACACACACAATCACTCACATAATCACATGCACACACCAGGATGTTGGGCGGCGTCTTGCCAGCCGTCGCACATGCTTCCACCGCATCCAACGTGGTCATGCTGCTTGGTTTGGCACGTTGTCGTCGTTGAAATACATGTGCATCAAATCACTTGGTCATCCTCTGAACTTCAAGCATCAACCTTTGCGATTCGATGCGCTTTTAGTGTAGCATGACTCGGACGAAACAGGAGTCGTTGCGCGAACATGGCAGAGCAGCAACATCAACAGCAACAGCTTGAAGAGCAGCGTGAAGAGCAGGAAGCTGCGCCAGGCAAGGCGTCGAGGATGGACCTGTTTGATGATGACGATGACGACGATGATGTGGACTTGGATACGGACGTGTCCATTGCCTCGTCTGCCTCATCTTCAGACGCTGATGACGACGATGACGACGACGGTGGCGCCTTGTCAGAGAGCGAAGACGTACGTCGTGTGAAAGTAGACAAGCAAGCACATGGTGGTGATGGTAGTGGTTCAGTGGCGGTTTAGTGGTGCTCAGTTGCAGTGAGCAACGCTGCTTGTGGCCCACAGCGTTTTGTTGGTGTGAATGGCTGTGCTGGCTGACGTGTGCTTCACACCCACAGCGACGAGCACCGCTGCAAGCCAACACCGCGTCATATCTCACGCCCTTTCTGCTGTGCTTCATTTGCTTGAATGTGCTCGCAGGACTGGTATGCGGCACACCTGAAGGAAACGAAGCAAAACTCGCTCCTTGCGACGGCAAAGTCACAGCAAACCAACAACGGGGATGCAGACGAGACTACAGCAACATCGGAGGACCAAGCAGCGCATGAACCCAACAAACTTGTCTCGTTCTCATTGCAGGAAGCCCAAGACGGTGACACAAGCAAGGACGCTGCAGCAGCACTTGGTGCCCTCTCCAGGTTGGCGGTATTCTGTGCTAAAAATGTGTGCGTGTGTGTGCATGCTTGTGTATCGTGGTCGCGAGTGAAAGAGAGAGAGAGAGAGAGGGGGAGTGTGTGTGTGTGTGTGTGTGTGTGTGTGTGTGTGTGTGTGTGTGTGTGTGTGTGCGTCTGCGTGTGTGCGTGCGTGCGTGCGTGCACTTTGTATCATGGTCGCGAGAAAAAGAGAGTGTGTGAGTGTGTGTGAGTCCCATCACTCACCTTGTATGTTGTGATCTCGTGTGCTATTTGTCGTCCGACAGGGCTGACCAGCTCAACTTGTACCGCATGCAACAAACGCTGCGCCAACACGTCCACAAGATGCACCTCATGTGCCTGCTAGGCAACCTGGTTATTCGCAGCAGGTGTGTTGCGTCGTGCTCTGCTTGGTATGCATGGTGTGCGCGGCTGTGTCGCACTTTGCCTGCTTTTGAGGCTCAGATAGATTGTCAGACTGTCAGACTGTATGTGTAGGTGTGTTCATGTGTATCCGGCCGTTGTCTCTCCCCCCCCCCCAACACACAGCGTTGTATAAATTTGTTCCTTGAGCTGTCAACAAACTTTGTTTGCCATTGCTGTTTTCTTGATTTGATGACAGGGTGTGTGATAATGCGGACGTTCAGGCCGGTGTGCTCTCGTGTTGCCCTTCCTGGGCCCTCCGTGAACGTAAGCAGAACACATGACGCCCCACATACGCACGCACACACACACACACACACACGCACACACACACACACGCACACACGCACACACGCACACACGCACACACGCACACACGCACACACGCACACACACACACACATACGTCCCCTCACTGCCCCCAATGCATTGTTTTGTTTTGTTCCCAAGGCTGGACCAAGCAGCGTGTGAGAAAGCTGTGCACGTGGTTCGCTGCGAACATACACGCGACCACGCATCACCACCAAAGACACGAACACGGCATGCACGAGGGTGGACTGCATCTCCACCCCGCTGGCGTATCCATCCTGCGCACAATGCAGGACCAACGCGGTCCTCCTTGGGCCGTCACATGCGCGTGCGCATCTGTATTGCGTCATGGCGGTGTGCGCGTGCGTGTGGTGTCGGCCCTGCAGCCGCTGTCAAAGAAGGTGCCCACAGCAGACTCGGTGCTTGCAAGCAAGACGAGCAGCGGCAGGCGCCGCAAGCGGGCCAAGGTGCTGCAAGAGGTGATTCGCATTGACTCTGGTGATGACGACGACGGTGGTGGAGGTGGTGGTGGTGGTGGTCACACCAAAGGACGTGATAGCCGTGGTCGTGGTGGGGCAGCTCGAGCACAATCTTCGGCCGCAAGCACTGATGCGCAGACACGACCACGCAGCACAACAACACCAACAACGGCAACGGCCACAACCACAACAGCGACATCATCATCATCATCATCATCATCATTGGTGGCCCGCCGCCAGAGAAGGAGAAGAAAGAGAGAACACGCCAGCGCCACGAGCAGCAGCAGCACTGCAACCGCGAGCAGTGGGCGGTACTGCTGGTGGCTGGAGGTGCTGTTTGGCGGGCGCGCTGCTGGATGGACACACGTCGACCCCATCGCGGGTGTCGTGGACGATGCGCAGCGTGTTGCAGCGAGGGGACGCAAGAAGCTTGGTGTGTACGTTTATGATGCGTGTGATGTGTGTGTGTGTGTGTGTGTGTGTGTGTGTGTGTGTGTGTGTGTGTGTGTGTGTGTGTGTGTGTGTGTGTGTGTGTGTGTGTGTGTGTGTGTGTGTGTGTGTTGAACTGTTGTGTTGATCGCTTGCTTGCCAATCCTTCTCAACACCCAACCACCACCACCACCACCACCACCACCACCACCATCGCCCCAATCATCACCAGGCGGGAGCGGGCCCGGGTGCGGCATGACGAACGACGCGCTTGTGTCGCTGCTGCAGAGCGACGAGCGGCTGATGGCCAATCCGCTGGCGAAGGAGGGCGTTGATGAGATTGCCCTCCTCATCAAGTACTGCAAGCACTTTGCAGCCGACAAGGCGGTGCGTACCACTTCCTGGCCCGAACGACAGGGGTTGTAATTGTGTGTGTGTGTGATTGTGTGTGTGTGAATGATAGTGTGTCCCACACCACTCATCTCCTCATCTCCCACCACACCACCACCTCCACACCGTCGCCATCGCCACCACCACCATCACTAGGTGTCGTTTGACATGAGCCTTGCCCGCGGGCTGGACTACTACACGGGCGTGATCTACGAGGCCGTGCTCGTTGGGCAGCGCGTCGGCTCCGTTGCTGGCGGCGGCCGGTACGACGACCTGGTCGGCATGTTTGACAAGAAGGGCCGCAAGGTGCCCTGTGTCGGCGTCTCGCTCGGCGTCGAGCGCCTCTTCACCATCATCGAGGTGCGCTGTGTTTGTGTGTGTATGTGTGTGTTTGTGTCTGTGTTTGTGTTTGTGTTTGTGTGTGTGTGTGTGTTTTGTCTGCTGCAATGTGCAGTAGCATCGCCTCTTTCATCACACCACAACACCTGCCATTGCTGCAAAAATGGCCGTGCTGACACCGGTGTGTGCTGCTGCTGCTGTTGCTGACAACGACAGGAGCGCGAGCGCAAGGCGGCGGAGAAGAGTCTCAAGACGCGCCACACCCAAGTCCTCGTCGCAAGCGGACAGGTACACATGTCATTGTTTTGTTGTGTGTTGTGTGTGTGTTGGGGGGGGGGGTGTTGAACGTGTGTTGTGCGTGAGAGACAAATGCGGCGCCAGCCCGCTCCACCCATCACGCTTACCCTCCCCCACCGCAACCACGTCACCGCCACCACCAATCTGCATCAACCTGCATCAACCACCATACCACACCACACCAACCACAAACCACACTGCTTCCTCGTCGCCGCCAGGGCATGGTTGAGGAGCGCCTTGAGCTGTGCGCTGCGCTGTGGGCGGCCGGGTTTGCGGCGGAGACATCGTACAAGCGCAAGTCGAAGCTGCTGAATGCGTTCCAGGAGGCCGAGGAGAGCGCCATCCCCGTCGTTGTTCTCGTTGGCCCCGACGAGCTGCAGCGTGGCGTCGTTAAGGTGATGATGATGATGATGATGATGATGATGATGATGATGATGATGATGATGATGATGATGATGTGGTGTTGTGTGTGTGATTGTGGGATCTTCTGTGTTTCCTGTGTATGTGTGTGCCTTCGTGTGCGTGTGTGTATGGCTCCCTGCCTGTCATTCACCACCGCCATTGCCACCACCATCACTGCCATCATCAATGCAGGTGCGCCACACCGCAACGCGTGAGGAGGAGGAGATTGCACGCGAGGATCTCGTTGACCGGCTCAAGACCCTCCTCTAAACACACACACACACACATGCATGCGCAAACAAATGCACACGTGCACGCGTGTGTGTACGCGTCACCCCTGCAGCCACTGCTACGTCTTTCTCCCACCATCTAGCTTGCTTGTGTTTGCTTCGTTGAGCCCCTTTGCCTCTTCATCGTTGTCGTCGTCTGCGTTTGTGTTTCGTCTTTGCTCGTGACTCGTGCGCTGCCCTGTGGTGCTTGTTGTCCCTTCCTCTCGCTTCCTCTATTTCAGTGCCTTGTTTCGGTGCTGTTGTTGCAATGAATCCCTCCATTTTCCATTCTGACGAGAGGTAGTCATGTCATGCCACACCCAGCAACAGCAGCAGAGATGCATCTCAACAATCATGCAACACAACACAACACAATACAACACAACACAACACACACACACACACACACACACAACGAAAACCGAGCAACACCAAGTCACGCTGCTGGTGCGTCAGGCCCGGCGTAAACTCTGATCCATTCCTCCACAGCATCGAGCGTCGCCTCTGTCGTCC